TCGACCAGAGCCTCGACAGGAGCGCCAGCCAGGTCAGCCGTAACCCCTCTCATGGCATCCTGGAATCCGATCGGATCCAGTAGCCTTCGAGGGCGGACCATAACAATAGGTCCCTGCTCCCTGCGAGGGGGGAGAGCCATCTTGATGGTACATTTTATTAGCTGGTGATCCGACCATGACAAGGGTACCGACTCGAGGTCAGTCACCATCGGACCACGCTCACTCCCGTTGGTGGAAAAGACCAGGTCTAATGTATGGCCGCCCACGTGTGTAGGGCCGTTGACATGCTGGGACATGTTCAAGAAGGCCATGGTCTCCAAGAACTCAAGAGCTGGTCCAGACGTCTCTGCCCCCGCATGCACGTTGAAGTCCCCCAGGACTAATAGCCTCAGGGAACCCAACAGTGCCGCGGAGACAAAGTCCACCAGCTCCGGTAGGGAAATGGCTGGGTCGCGGGGAGCACGGTAACCCAGCAAGATCCCAATACCGTCCCTAGCCCCAATCCACACGTGGAGAGCCTCAAGACCCGGCTTGCATTACTGCTTGCACAAAGGTTAAATCCAGTACAACTATGCTACCGTAGTGAAGTTTTTCACTTTGTCAACATTACATTGAACTGAAGTCATTTTTGTCTTTGCTTGGTTTCTAACTTTTAATAGGTTTCTTATTCTTATCTTCTATAACAAATTTTCACAATTATATTTGAAATTTTAACAAAAATCATATCATTTTCAAATGGTAATGTTATTCGGAAATGTATTTTCTTCTTTTTTTGAGACTCCATTTATTTAAGGCATTTAAAAAGATGTAAGGCATTTAAAAAGATGTACATGCCTAAAAGCAATTATTTCACAGGGCTTCATCTGTCCAGTGTGTATGAAAATGTACGTTACTGCCACTGATCTATATGAACATTACCAGAATCAGCACAGTGGGACAGAAGCAAGAAGACCGGAGCTTCGTGAATTGCCTGCTAGTACAGTGGGTTTTATTTATTTGGTGTCGCTCGCTTGGTTCTGGAATGCTTGTAAGAAATGAGTACTTCTTGTTTCTGGTTGCCTGGGTGTGGGTCTCCAGCTTTTCTTTATAGTACCTACTCTAGGTAGATATGGCCTCACCTTTTTATTCCATCCTTTGCACTGTAAACTTTACAGAAGGGGAATGTCAATCTGCTCTGGGTGTTTTCCTTACCTTTGATTTGCAACTGTCTTTTTTGTAGAATGGCTGTAGTATTGACGATTGGGATTTAAGGAGTGGAAAATAATTTTGCATTTTTTCTACATGTTTGAACAAAAACCTCTTTGTATTACATGGTTTTCTCCTGTATATGTCATGTTGAATATAACGAGCAGTATGGTTTATGTAAATACTGTACATAAAATTTGTACTTTTAAATGTTTGAAGCTCATTTACTTGACGTTATCATTTCATTTTATTTTTAAATTTTGGCTGTAGCATTTTATACCTGTCTGAAACAATCAGAAACAAATCTGTATTTTAAAACAAAGAAGTTTCCAAGTTGTGCCTCTCCTAGTCTATGGCTTATGTCAGAAAACATGAATTTTGCTTGAAAGTTTTCTTTTTTGGAGAAACCATAATGGACACTGCTAAGTCAAAACTACCTTTCTTGAAACTCAGAATGTGTCCCTTTGCAAATATTTCCTAAGAAATTTGATGAAACTGAAAGAGTAAAATACTTAGCTCTTACTGTAGAGTTGTACTTTAGATTTTTTCTTCTTCTTAGTAACTTCAGTTTCGTCTGTTAAAACAAAGCCACTGGATTCAGATGTTGCCATGAAAACAAGCTCAGTAGTTTTAGTTTTTGTCTTATGAACAGTAATTGTTGTGAAATATATAAGTGGACTCCTCTTACACATTCAGGCAACCAGAATATTTTGCATCACCGGGGCAACATTTCTATATTCTCATATTCCCCTGGGCTAATTTCTCAGGTGCCGTGTGCTGATGGTAGTAAGGCTGAAATCAGTAGTGGACAGGACATAAGGTAGAAAAGACCACATTTTCTGTCTAAGATACCGCAACATTTTTTTATCACTTAAATGAGATTTTTTTTCTTTCTATTTCCCATAACCAAAGTATTGTCATGTAAAACTTCATTAAGTATTGTCAGTTAGCTCGGTTGTTTGTGTGATGCTAATATTACCAAGGTCATGGATTTGATCCTCATAGGCCATATGTTTTGAGATCCAGTGTAGTGTATGCTAAACAGAGGGTTGAATGGGACTCAGGAGATCTGGGTTCAAATCTGTATGGCTGTGGAAACTCATTGGGAGTGCCACTGGTAAAACCACCGCTTAAATATATTAGTTTGAGGATATGATTAGGATTGCCATAAATTGTAACTGACTTGATAGCACAGAACACACAATTGCATAATATGATGTCATTGTTTCTGAAAATTAAATTCAGTTGTTAGTTACTAGAGTGGACCCATTGAATCAGTGTAATATTATCTAGTTGGAATTAACAGTTGCATTTAGTCCACTATAAGTATTATCTAATGAAAGGGTTTGCTGAACAGTTAGTTCTGAATTGTAGTCTAAATCTATAGATACAATACAAGGAAACTCCAGCTTAATCTTTTCAACTTTAACACAAAGATACAAATGCATTACTTGTGGATGCAAGTGAAAACATGAGTTTACAGACATTAAGATTTATATAGTACTTCTCCTAAATGCTTAAAGTTCATCACATTCAATGGGTTAGTCTGGATTTTGCCATTTTCTAGTCATTCTAGTGTTGACTTATCAGTCCCGTTGATGTCAGTGGGTCTGCTCCAAGTATGACTGGATCTAGAACTGATGCATTCTCTCAGTAATCATTGCACAAATTGTGTAATGTAGGAATTTGCAGTCAACAGGAAAGTTATTTTCTTATGTAACTAATAAATCTGGTACTTGGACATGCTTTTGATTGCTTACTGCATTATTCTTTCCCTAACTTTGTTCCTATAGAGGGGTATATGCTTGTAGACATGCTGCATAGATCTCGTTTTTTTCTCTCCCCATGCACTTCTGTGCATGTTGATTCAGAAGTTCTACTGTGCTTGCTTTTTAAAAAGTATGTGTAGGAGTATAGCCAGGCAGTGCCATCCAAACTGAAAGATATGTTGTCTGTAGTAAGTTTGGAACAGACAGAAGGCTCTTGTGAGGGCACAAGTGCCCTTCTTCTGATATAACTGGCCTTGTGCTGGCTGACTTTAAATCTCATGGCACAGCTGGCATAATTGCTATTCTGTCTGAGATCAACTGGCAGAACAGTTAGAAAAAAGGGGAGTGTCTGAACTCTTCTCAGTCCATACACATAGCTGCTATGCCAACACAAAGTTAGTTCAAGGTCAGGATAATAATTTCCAGTGTCCCAAAGATGGGAGGGATTTGGATTCAACACAGCCTCTGTTGCCTTCATGTCAACTGAGCCATTCCTTGGCTAGTTAGAATTGCACCCTTTTTTGTGAATTGTATTTGCTAGTGGCTATCTGGATAAAAGTTATCAATAAATGTGGATGATTATTTTAAAAATAAGCATGTAAACATTGTAGGCTGTTTCAGATGCATTTTGTACTTTTATTTTGTTTTTGTTTTTTGTGCATATTGCAACAAAAGTTTCAGAAAAATGCAGTTTGAAGTCTTGGTTAAGTTTGTAAACTACAGATTTAATAAATTTATTTTGCAATGTGTACTAAACAAATTTCTTAATTTAGAAGCAAATTAAGGATGTTTCCAGTGGAATGTTGTACTTGCAGCAAAGGTAATACATGTAAGAAAAATAACATGTTAGAAACAGCTTTTAGTAATGGCTTTGCTGTAGTTTATTCAAGAGGTCTAATTTTTTTTTAAATTGGCTAGGCACATATTTTGGCATATTATCACTTATCTTTCATTCAGTAATCTAATGCTGTATGAATTGCTGATGCTATTACAGTTTATCTGTTCAGAACAATTTGTTTACAACCTTGAAAGTGTTGAGCAAAAACATAAAATCAAGAATTTTTATTTTAAAAGTAAGTGCAGTTTAACATAAAAACCCCTCATGATCTAAGAACAGTGGAATTTTTATAAAGCTGACTAAGAAAAATACGGAACACAAATTCACTCTTGTCAATACCACTAGGAGGGTGGCAGCTATATCTGTGGCACTAATGTGTTTTGACTAGACATGGGCATTTCATATTCGTATCCCTGGGAATATGAATACGAAGCATGGTGCCACAGGTGCCATGGAGGTCCCTTCCCTCCTTCCAGAACTGTTGTCATTGTGCCAATTGCAGAAATAATCCAACCGGCTCTTTCCCACTTCCCTGCACAGCCAATTGCTCAACAGCTGAGCAGGGAGACGTCATCCTGTCTTCTTGTGGGAGTGGTTGGTTGTGCGAGGAGACGGGGAAGAACCAGCTGGGCTACTTTTGCGATTGGAATGATGTCAGCAGTGATATACATGCATGCCACATGAGTGGACTGGCCAGTTCTGGGGGGAGGGAATGGACCTCCATGGCACCTGGTGTGTCATGCTTCATATTCATATCCTCAGGGATAAAAATATAAATTGCCATGTCTGGTATAGATGCTTGTGTATAGTGAGATTTGGGATGAGTGTTCCATTTTCCTCTTGTCTCATGATGCTAAGTATGTTCAGGAAAACTATCTATTGGATCACTCCTGTCTGCATGCTTAATGACACTTTCAAAGAAATCTAAAAAGATTACTGAGACAAGATATACTTTTGCAGAAGTCATGTTGATTGTTTCTGAGCAGAGCTTGCTCTTATATGTGCTTTTCAGTTCAGTCCTAAGTAAAGCTTCCATCCAATAGCCGTAACAAACACTACTGTAACTGGTCTGTAGTTTCCCAGATGCTCTTGAAACCCTTTTAAAAACTGGTATTACTGTATATTGGTCACTATTTAGCCATCTGGTATAGAGTACTGTATAGTGGTGCCTCGCTTAATGATTACTGTATTTGCTGGTGTATAAGACTACTTTTTTTGCCCTGAAAAACATGCCTCCAAGTGGGGGGGGTCATCTTATATGCCGGGTACACTTCAGTTGAGATACACATAGCCGCCCATAGTGGCCTTCCGATGCTTGCCCAGTGCCCATCGTAGCCTCCTGATGCCTGCCCACCTCATTCTACATACCATCCAGTATCACGCGGTATCCAGCGCGGCCACGGCGAGCATCAGCAGCGAGACGGGGTGCCAGCCTTTTCGACGTGACCGGCCTGTTCTGCTTGGCGGGAAGCAGTGGCGCTCCGGCCCGCCCCTTGTCTACGCAGAGCTCACACATGTGCACTTGCGCACTAGTGCTGGTCACAGGGAGATGCAGGGGCAGGCCGGAGGCGCTGTGGTTGTGCTGGGCCGTACAATGGTGACAATGAATAACACCTTTTATTTGGTGTGTGGAAGATGTGCGGAAGAGGGGGTAGTCTTATACGGCGAGTATATAACAAACTATATTTTGAGTGGAAATGTGAGGGGGGTCATCTTATACACCCAGTCGTCTTACACGCCGGCAAATACGGTACCTCATTAAACGACAAATCCGTTTTATAATGGGTTTTTGTGATCGCTATTGCGATCGTAAAACAATGTTCTTATGGGGAAAATTTGCTTCACGATGATCGGTTCCCTGCTTCGGGAACTGATTCTTTGCATTACAACGATTTAAAAACAGCTGATTGTCGGGTTTCAAAATGGCCGCCCGCTGTGCAAAATGGCTCCCCGCTGTGTTAAGGATGGATTCCTCTCTATACAGGCACCAGAAAATGGCCGCCCCATGGAGGATCTTCACTGCACGATGAGATTTTTCACCCATTGGAACGCATTGAGCGGTTTTCAATGCATTTCAATGATGACGATTTCGCTTAACAGCGATTTTAATGGAACGCATTATTGTCAAGTGAGGCACCACTGTATATGATCTCATGTATTTGCTACATATTTTGTTTAAAGATCAGCAATTTCACATGTTTCTTTAAAAAAATCTCTGTCTTAGACTCAGTGGTTTATTTGCTTCTAATTTTAAAGTGAAGTCTAGAACTTACACTCTTGTCACTGCTATTTGATTTGGTTCCCCACACTTTTTTGTTGGAAATATTAGTTTGGCATGACTGTTTGTCTTATATCTTCAGGAAGCAAGACAGCTAAAATAAATTATCTGACTTCTTTGCAGTTTCACCATTCTTCAAAACTCCTTTAATCATCTAAGTGCCTGAAAGTCTTTTTGCTTGCTTTCTGTTCCTGATGTATTTAAATAATTCTGTATTGTTGAAGCTGATGCTGTTATGATATACTCCTCTAAATCTGTTTTTTCTTCTTCTTCTCTGTTCTCTTGCATTTCTTTTGCAAAATTTTGTTTTAGGCTTGCATCATTTGCCTATATCTTCCAGTTTCCAAAGCAAGCCTTTTTATTAGGGATGTGCACTAGAACCAAAATTTCATATTCAGAATTACAGTGCATTGGATTTGGAATTTTAAAAAAGAATTTCCAAATACAGTGGTGCCCCGCTTGACGATTACCCTGTTTGATGACGAATCCGCTTTACGATGAGTTTTTTGCGATCGCTATTGAAATTAGAGATGAGAGTTTGAGCTGAGGGTTTAAAGTGATTGTTAGTTGTAGTGAGTGACAGAACCTGTCAGTGTGAAATAGTCTGTGAGATCCAGTGATTTATTTACAGTGATTGACTTATTGATTCTTTACCAGTGATTTACTATTTTTATTTCCTATAATCAATAAACCATTTTTTGTTTTTCAAAGTTACACTTGTCCTTTTTCCAACAACACAAGAGGCGACTCTATACATGGAAATCACCAGATGGGCAATATCGAAATCAGATTGATTATATTCTCTGCAGCCAAAGATGGAGAAGCTCTATACAGTCAGCAAAAACAAGACCTGGAGCTGACTGCGGTTCTGATCATCAGCTTCTCATAGCAAAATTCAAGCTTAGACTGAAGAGATTAGGAAAAACCACTGGGCCACTCAGGTATAATCTAAACCAAATCCCTTATGAATACACAGTGGAAGTAAAGAACAGATTTAAGGAACTAGATTTGGTGGACAGAGTGCCTGAAGAACTTTGGATAGAGGCTCGTAACATTGTCCAGGAGGCAGCAACGAAAACCATCCCAAAGAAAAGGAAATGCAAGAAAGTAAAGTGGCTGTCCAACGAGGCCTTAGAAATAGCAGAGAGGAGAAGGGAAGCAAAATGCAAGGGAGATAGGGAAAGTTACAGAAACTTGAATTCAGACTTCCAAAGAATAGCAAGGAGAGACAAGAGGGCGTTCTTAAATGAACAATGCAAAGAAATAGAGGAAGATAACAGAAAAGGAAAGACCAGAGATCTGTTCAGGAAAATTGGAGATATTAGAGGAACATGATAAAAGACAAAAATGGGAGGGACCTAACAGAAGCAGAAGACGTCAAGACGAGGTGGCAAGAATACACAGAGGAATTATATCGGAAAGATTTGGATATCCCGGACATCGCAGACAATGTAGTTGCTGACCTTGAGCCAGACATCCTGGAGAGTGAAGTCAAGTGGGCCTTAGAAAGCCTGGCTAACAACAAGGCCAGTGGAGGTGATGGCATTCCAGTTGAACTATTTAAAATCTTGAAAGATGATGCTGTTAAGGTGCTACATTCAATATGCCAGCAAGTTTGGAAAACTCAACAGTGGCCAGAGGATTGGAAAAGATCAGTCTACATCCCAATCCCAAAGAAAGGCAGTGCCAAAGAATGCTCCAACTACCGTACAATTGCACTCATTTCGCACGCTAGCAAGGTTATGCTCAAAATCCTGCAAGGTAGGCTTCAGCAGTATGTGGACCGAGAACTCCCAGAAGTACAAGCTGGATTCCGAAGAGGCAGAGGAACTCGAGACCAAATTGCTAACTTGCGCTGGATTATGGAGAAAGCCAGAGAGTTCCAGAAAAATATCTACTTCTGCTTCATTGACTATGCGAAAGCCTTTGACTGTGTGGACCACAGCAAACTATGGCAAGTTCTTAAAGAAATGGGAGTGCCTGACCACTTTATCTGTCTTCTGAGAAACCTATATGTGGGACAGGAAGCAACAGTTAGAACTGGTCATGGAACAACTGAGTGGTTCAAAATTGGGAAAGGAGTACGGCAAGGCTGTATATTGTCCCCCAGCTTGTTTAACTTATATGCAGAATACATCATGCGGAAGGCTGGACTGGAGGAATCCCAAGCCGGAATTAAGATTGCCGGAAGAAATATCAACAACCTCCGATATGCAGATGATACCACTCTGATGGCAGAAAGTGAGGAGGAATTAAAGAACCTTGTAATGAGAGTGAAAGAGGAGAGTGCAAAAAACGGTCTGAAACTCAAGATCAAAAAAACTAAGATAATGGCCACTGGTCCCATCACCACCTGGGAAATAGAAGGGGAAGATATGGAGGCAGTGTCAGATTTTATCTTCCTGGGCTCCATGATCACTGCAGATGGAGACAGCAGCCATGAAATTAAAAGACGCCTGCTTCTTGGGAGGAAAGCGATGACAAATCTTGATAGCATCTTAAAAAGCAGAGACATCACCTTGCCAACAAAAGTCCGAATAGTCAAAGCTATGGTTTTTCCTGTCGTGATGTATGGAAGTGAGAGCTGGACCATAAAGAAAGCTGACCGCCGAAGAATTGATGCCTTTGAATTGTGGTGCTGGAGGAGGCTCTTGAGAATCCCCTGGACTGCAAGGAGAACAAACCTATCAATTCTAAAGGCAATCAACCCTGAGTGTTCACTGGAAGGACAGATCCTGAAGCTGAGGCTCAGGTACTTTGGCCATCTCATGAGAAGAGAAGACTCCTTGGAAAAAACCTTGATGTTAGGAAAGTGTGATGGGAAGAGGAGAAGGGGACGACCGAGGATGAGATGGCTGGACAGTGTCGGCGAAGCAACCAACATGAACCTGACACAACTCCGGGAGGCAGTAGAAGACAGGAGGGCCTGGCGTGCTCTGGTCCATGGGGTCACGAAGAGTCGGACACGACTAAACGACTAAACACATCATACCTTGTTGACTTTTTCTGTTTCCACTTTACCAGTTCCCTTATTTGAGGGAAGTTTCTTATTTTGAAATCAAATGAAACTACATTGCAGTTCCCTAGTGCTGCTTCACTTATACATATATAGTACATTAAATTTGATAGCACTGTGACCATTATTTCCAGCTGGCTCAACCTCATTTAATATCTTACTTCAAGTCTTAAAACTGCAGAGCTGGAAAGGACTCTCTGAATAATCAAGTCCATAATCAAGTCCATCCTTTGTCAAGGAGGCATAGTGGCGAATCATATTCCCAACCTCTGGCTTAGCAGCTAATAAACCACTGAGCTGTCTTCTCATATCAGGTCTTGATTAATGTAGAATTAAATCTGTGGCAATCTTTCCCAGCTGTTTGCTTCCATGACTAGCTGTTCAAGGACAGAGTCTTTTGCAATATATAGAAATAATGCTTATTTGCTGTGTCTGAAGCACTCATTTGTCCAGTCATTTGTATAGTCAGCCATTATTACAACATTATCTTCTTTGGATGGCCTCCTGCTTTCACTCTTTATCTCAAGATCAACCTGATCTGTTTGGTCAGGGGGATGATAGACTGTAAGTTATTTTGGAGGGTCTGGCATTGTCATCTGTAGCAATTCTGTAGAAGAGTCAATCTCTTTTACATTTTCTTGGTTGCTTGACGCTGTGTTCTTCCTGATGTACACATGTAGTTTGATGTTATGTTTGGAAAAATACTTTTTACATATAAGTGGGTTCTTTAATTTGAAATATGAGTAATGCTTATTTTTTTAGCTCAGTTAAAAGAGTTGCTGGAATATATACAAAAGAATGAAGGCTCTGTGGACTGGTTCCAAATACTGTATATATTATGGTAAATTATGATAGGCTGAAAAATGAAATGTGAGAGGCAGGATTTGAGTGATAGATAATGAAAAGTTATGTGTTCTCCAAATTTAGTTTGAACTTTATTAAGCTAAGCTAGGAGCTTTTTCCTTATTGTCTTTGAAGCTAACTGTGCTAACTGCTACAGTTGTAGAAATAAAAACTGGTACATACATTTAATTTAAACCACTATTTTATATCCAAACATAGGAACTCTATTGTTGAAATGTTTTCTTCTTCTTTTTCCTTTGGCACATAATAATTGTTTTGTTGATTAGGTGAAGCTGGTAGTCTGAAAAAAGATAAACATTTGTTTTCCCCCTCCCCTTCTTTTTAATAGGGATTTATTTGTCCCCTTTGCATGAAATCCCATGGATCAGCTGAAGAACTTTTCAAACACTATGAAGCAGTCCATGAATCTGGGATTGATTCTAGCCATGGAGGAGAATCTAACTTGTCTCCAAAAAGGTGCTGAGCTTTATTTGTTTTATATCATAATTGCATGTTAATCTGAGCACTGAATACATTGGAATGTGTTGATGTGTGTTGATACATGGTTCACCTGAATGAGAAGATGAAGTCTTGTAAGTCTTTGAAGATTTTTTCCTACTTTTATGGCCACACATTTTCTTGGACTACAGCTCCTAGAAGCTACAGTTACTGTGGCTTGTAGTCAAGGCTTCTGGGAATTGTAGTCTTGGGCTGCTGGTTGGAGATTTCTGATACAGAATATGATAATATCTAAACTAACAATTTCTTTTCATTTGTCATTAGAATAGCTTTCTCCACCATGGAATTCCATTGGTTAAATCCTTGTTATTATCTCAGTACTTTATTTTCTTTGTCACTGTTTTTTCATGTAAAAATTCAAAAAGTTACCATGTATGTTTTGAAATCAGCTTTGTGCTATTATTGGTTTTTATTGATTTAGATTAATGTGAAATGTTTTAGGGGCATATTGAAGTAAATATGACACGTCATAGAAATGCTCCCCCAATGATAACATAGTAACAAGGATTTGCCTCTACTGCTTCAGTCCTACAACTACACTAGCGCCTTCGGTCAAAACAAGTGAAAAAATTAAAGGGCTGAAGTTAAAAGGCTTGGGCAATTTTTAAAGATTTTTTCATTCTGCACAAAAATGTTTGTGTGGCACAACATGACACTAGCAGAGCATGACCTTTCCCTGCTATTTGAACTTGGAGTTGGAGAATTAATTTAGAAAAGTTCCTTAGCAATTGTGCCAGTTGGAATGGATAGTCCTTTTGACAATTCAGGCTCAGAACATGTACAACTTTAAATGTTAAGGACCAGAACTTTGAATTATGATTCATATTGGACTGGAAGCTTGTGAAGTTGTTGAGATGTGTTCCATTTGACCACTCTGATCAGCAGTCTAGTACCCACATTTTGGATGAGACAAAGCTTTTGAATATTGTCTCATCTTAATTTATTTCTTATAAACAGCATATTTAGAAGTTTAATTGAAAAATGATGAAGTGAAATTGAAATTAGTCGCCAGCAAAATAGCAGAGGTGGGCTACTTTTTCTCTAAAGCATGGGTTACCACCCTGGGGGTCATATCCCCCAAGTATTTTCTGACACAGGATCACCACAGTTATTTTTGGTTGCAGTTATTTTTATATTTATTAAATATGGCACACACAATGCTGTTTTATTTTAATCTTCTTGACCCATAGATGAATTTAATCTGAACCAGAATTGCATACAACCTAGAGTTTTTAGTTATTTCTGTACCCTTTTGTATGAATTTTCCTTTTAAGAATGGACATCACTCCTATGCCTTTCGAAAGAACAGCTCTCACCTGTTTCTCTCTGCTCTTCCATATCCACCTTTGAAGGACCGATATCTGCCCTTTGAACCCGAGTCTTAGCCGAGCTCAAAGAGGCCTGAATGAGGTGAACAAACAGGAATGCCGGTGCCCAAGATGGTAGCAGGATTCAAAAGTTGTTGCTGTTTCAACAGCGGCAGCTTTTACTCCACCTGAGTCTCCCGCCCACTTGGGTGCAGCAACAATGGCAGAGAAAGGAGAGGGGACCTGGGTGGGGAGATGCTTCTGAGCCCTGTCTGAATCATGGAGGAGAAAGACAAAAGGGGCAAAATGTTGAGAGGGGAGAACAAGAGGTAGGCATGGGAGTGAGTGGGGGAGGCGTTTATTTGGACTCAAAGAAGAGGGGCTCATCACTGAGGGGGCTTTTTGAAGGGAGGGGACATGAAGGGAGGGTCATTTCTACACTCCAAAAAACTAAGTTAAACTCAAAGCATATTGATTTTTTTTCCCTTTTCATATTTTATCTCGTAGAGGCAGATTTACAGCCCCCAACCATAATTACATATTATTACATTAAAATTAATATATTTGGTTAGAATTGTATTCTAAAAAAATCTATTTTTAATGTGTTTTCTTTGCCCCATTAAAATGCCTTTTTATGTGAATGTGGCAGTTGTCTTAGCTATTATAAAAGTAGGTTGCAGTGCAAAAAAGGCTGGGAAACACTGGTAGAAGGTCGCATTTCCTTTTGAGTAAAATGACAGGGGCTACATACTGTAGATGGGCAGGGTTGAAACTAGAATGTGAAGTAAGGGACCCCACTGTCTTTTCCTTTCTGTTTCCACCACTTTATTTTCTTTCTCTGTTATTGTATTCTCTCCCTCAATCTTTGCCTGGCATGCTGAGATGTGAACAGGATCACTTGGAGAGGAAATCAGGCTGATGACAAATGGCTACAGGACCTGTGGATGTCCTATTTTTGCATACATACCCAGGAATAAGTCCCATTGGAAATGTCAAGTGGGACTTTTTTCTAAGTAATACACAGGCTTATCTTGTTAGTGAACATATTACTGACTGTTAAGTGAATTTAATCGCTGAAATTCAGTAGTAAGTCCCAGCTAGAGTAGGCCCATTGAATCAGAGTCACTTCCATAGATACTGACTTGCTCAACCTCCATTGATTCAGTTGGCCTACTCTAGTTGTGAATTTTTACTGGATTTCAGCCAGTATGTATTACAGCAGACTTGTAGCTAATGGATAATTTGATTTTACATTTCGTAGTGAGATGGTGTTTAGTCCTAAAGGAGCCATATCTTGTCACATAATATATGGTGCAGTAAGACAACTGCATGGTTATGGTATCCAGGCATTGCAAGAGCATGTGTTCTGAGTCATACTATTTAATTTCCAGTTCAATTTCTTGGTTAACCCTTTGGTATCAACATCAGTTTTGAAATTTTAGAAGATAGCACTCTTCATAGCATTGAACATGATTGCACAGAAGTGGTCAAGTTGATACAATTGCAAAGACGTATCCTCCCCACATAGAATATGGCATGAATGCTCTAACGGTTATTGTTTGGATGATCATATCTTGTTTTATTAAGCTGAGACATGGATAAGCCATTTGCTTTCCCCTTTCAGCAAATGGTAAATCTTCCATTAATTACCGTATAATTTCCCATTAGGTAGAAGTTGATTTCATAGCCTTGTTCTGAAGCTGGTAGTCATAGTTTCTTGGTTAGGATAAAAGAGGTAACTGATTAATTAGAGATTTTTCTGGTTTAAGGAAAGGGACTAATAGGAGGATCAAAGAGATTGCATGTGCAAACAAAATACCCATGATAAACACAGTTCACTAGGAACTAGTCCCCACTGAACTTAGTTTGAGTTATTTTTTATAAATATGCTTAAGACTAGATTGCATATCCTATTAAACATTGTTTATTAATTGTTTTAGTATGTTGAACATGAGGTTTTACATAGGAGAGAGACGATGAATCTATGTCTAGCTTTTATTTCAGTTATTTAGGAATACTGAAAGTGATTTGTTTAGATGCATCATTTTAGAAAGATAAACTGCATTTAACTGCAATGATTTTAACAAAAGTTCCAACGCTTGTCTCCTTTTTAACATGGGCTGTGTTCAGTGATGACATAACACTATTGCGGCAAGAAGTTCAAGATTTGCAAGCTTCACTTAAGGTTGGAAATGTACTTTATTTGTGTATGCCATTCTTCGTTTCAATTGAAAATTTCCCCAGAAGATTCTCAAGGTTGCAAGCTCATAACATATTTTTAACTTTCTTTCTTCAGGAGGAACGATGGTACTCTGAAGAGCTGAAGAAAGAATTAGAAAAAGTTCAAGGGCAGAGACAGCAAGTAATTGCTTTAAAAATAGTTGAAGCAGGTTTACCACAAGCAGTTTATAATAAGCCTTAAAATGGAAGGTTAATACTCTTTTTTTGTAAGGCACGTGACCTGAATGAATTCATTCCATAGCTAATTTCCTGAAGTTATGTAAGAATATAAAATATCATTTGTATTTGCAATATTCAGCATTAAAAGTTTTAGTCAGTACATTTTCTTGTTAACATGCAGCATTTGATTAGTTTTCATCCTGAAATGTAAAGCATCAGTGTTTCTATCCTACTGTTTCATGTTTTCCTTGGGCACTTGCTGCACAATGGGCCCCTATTTTCTTCTCTGTTAGCATTTAGTGGACTTTCCTCTATTTAGTTCTCTTTTCTGTTGGGTTACTATTTGAGCTATGGCAGTTTGCTCATCTATTCTTTTCTTTCCCTTCAGTCTGATAGCATAATCAAGACAGGATTATTTTGAGTCGTACAACATATTTAACAACTTGGTGCTCTCTAGCGGTGACTGCATTAATGATCGACAACAAAATAGTTTTGTAGAATGAAATACAAAAGTGTGTGTATTTTAATGAAGTCAATTAAATGACTGAAAACATTTGTGTAACCCCCAATGTCTACTCAAGCTTTTTCTTTCTTTCTTTCTTTCTTTCTTTTTTGAGGACTCTAAAGCTGATGGGCTGGCATCTACTGCATCTACAGGTGACAAATGTATTTTAAAAATGTTTTGTAGTGGTCATCTAGTAATTATGAACGAGAGAAGCAACACTTTTAAATCTAGTTGTCATGGGAATATTACTATGTGATTCACATGTCTCTTAAGGATTGTAACATTGTATATTTCAATACAAGGACTTAATCAACTGCAATATAAATATTTAAATCTAATATATATATCTTGTATGCTCCAGAATTTTCCTCATTTTCCTGCTTTCCCTTAGAACCCATTCTATGTCTTCAGAAGCCTGTGCACCAGTTCTGTGTTTTGATGAGTAAAAGGAAGGTTAATGTTCTCTTTAGTTGTGTACAGCCCCATTTTGTGTTTTTATAAAACATACTGTTTTTCTATAAGTAACTTTGGTGTAACTGATAAATCAGAATTTATATGGCCTTTTTAACTGAGAGGTAAAACCACATTTGCATCATAGAAGATTAGGTAATTTGAAGACCATTACAATTTTATAATGCACAGCAAACGTAGTGCATGATCATCAGATTATGCTAGAGTTCTTGGTGCTTTATTTATATTTAATAAAATTACCCGTAACTTTGCATTATAATGGTCTACATTATCCTGCTTCTGTGTTAAAAAAGAGGGGAGATAGTGGAAAAAATCCAAGTGTTAGGAAGTGGCCTAGGTTGATTAATGACTGGGTTGGGGAACTTCTGAGGGTCCAAGGGCCATTTTTGTCCTCCTTTGTACCTTCACAGGATGAAGCCCTCTTACTCCCACCTTCTGCTGGCTGTTTTTAAAGTACAGAAATTGCTAGTTATGCCCCCCCCCAACTTCTGGGGAATGCAGTGTGCCTTCTAGATGTGTTTTGTCCTCTCTAGGCCCCACTCTTACATTTTAAGATAAAAAAAAGTCCTTTTGAGAAATAGGAATCAACCAGCCTGGGTGAAATTAGATTTTCAGTGCAAATTGTCAGTTTGGGCACATCATATATTGGGGACTTTTCAGGGAATGGGAGGCATCAGGGACACTCCAAGAGCTGTCCTGGGAAGCTGCATGTGGCCCACCAGTCACACTTTGCTAACCTCTCATTTAGAGATTGCATTTTATTTCTCAGCTACTAAATTAATATAGTCATTTATTGTAGGACATCCTTCTCTAATTTTATATTCTAGCGTGTTAATGAATTGTGGCCTTTACAGGTAACCGTTTCCCAAATTTGAAGGAAATTGCAGTTTAGAACAAAGCAAAAATGGAACTTTAAAACGCACTTTCTGCTGGCTCGAATAGTCCTTGGCCATTGGCTGTTACTTATGAGTAAGCACAGTATCTAAGTACAAGAGTTTAGATGTTCTTCAGTGTATGGTAGATTCAGTAGCTATGAATGCAGTTCTAAGCACATTCTGGAATCTAGGTCTGAGTGAACATCGCTACCACTGGGCTGCATAGTATTTAAGTGTGTCTTTATTTGTTTTCATGATACCTAAGTAGGAAAAATATGTAAATCATTGCTCCAACCTGAATTATTTAATAATTACTTATATTTTCTTTTAGAATTAGAATCATTAGAACAACAGCTAGAAGACAGTCAGGTAGAAAAGTTCAATATTAAGCAGATGAAAGACTTGTTTGAACAGAAGGCAGCACAACTGGCCACTGAAATTGTGGGTATGTCCCCATAATTATTTATTGTGTAATTTGATTCACATTTTTGTTTAAAGTGAGTGAATAATTTTTGTGTAATTTTCCTTCAATCAGATCTTAAAGCCAAATATGATGAAGAAAAGAGTCTACGAGAAGCTGCAGAACAGAGACTGGCAAATTTGACTTCAGAGCTACAGAAAGAAAGAGGTGTATGTGAAGATTTAAGAACAGAACTGGTAATTCTTAGCATATGATCATATTTTTATTGTGTTGTCCAAATCTGGCTGTTCTGGATATTAGATTTTTAAAAGTACAGGGTTTTAAATCAACCTGCCCTTTTTTTTATGTGTGAGAAGGATTCATTTTTGGCAGAAAACAATGCTCTGATGTCAAGAATCTTTTCTCTGGCGCTATACTCAATAATTTTCTAGGTGGCAAATGCGTATAGCTATCGATTTCTATATATTGCAATATTTTTTCTGTTTACCAAATTATCATGGCATAGAATTTTCAATTATCTGCTGCCACTGCTATCTTATGTTCGTTTATCTCTTTTAGTAAACATGGTTAATATGTGCACAATTTATAAACTACACTACCCTCTCTATTTTCTACCCACAAGTAGAGTATAGGCAGAAACTCTCTTTGTCTCTGTCTCTCTCTCTCTGTATGTGCGCATGCGTGCATGTGTAAATTAATCACTGCTATTGAAAGTGTTAACTTTCTCTTCTGATTTAGAGCTACTCTGATTATCTCCAGTGGTTGTTGGTGAATATGTCCTCTTGTAAAATGTCTTTCCTGTAAAAGCTTCCACTGAAACATGAAAAGTAAAATAGTGCAAACTGCCATTTTAGAAGTATTTTATTATTGAAAGTGAGATAGTGCTTTGTGTAGCAGCTTTCATAAAATTAAGTATATTTTAATCTTGTCAGTGTAATATAGTAGTGACCAAACACTGTTCTGCAAATTACGCCTGCACCTTGAATCCTTTTTAGGAGAAAGGTGGCATATAAATATTTAGAATAAAATAAAATAAAATATGTATGAGGATATCACCAGCTGGAGGAAATTGCTATAAATTAAAAGAGTTCGTGCTTTGATCCTGGGGCTTACTAGAATAATGTGCAATCAATCTCATGTGCAAGTCAGAAGAACTCCAAAATCAAAGTCGGAACTCTAACTACTGTACCAACAATCTCCCTCTGCTTGCAGAAGGAGATTGTAAGTACAATGGTGCCTCAAAAGACGACATTAATCTGTTCCACGGTTAATGCCGTCCAGCGAAAAAGCGGTTTCAGAAGCCTCCTGGCTGCTTTTCCACTGCTGAACAAGCCCCGGGAAGTTTCTGAAAGCGGCGCTTTGCGGGGGGTGGTGAGGGGGGTGGCCACTTCAGAGGCTTCCCCGGTTCATTTCCACTGCCTGTTTACCTGCTGGGAAAGCCCAGAGAAGCCGTTGACACCCTGCACCAATCAGCTGTGAGGCGGGGAGGGGGTAGGAGCGGAGAAGAGCTCCCCTTCCCAGCAAAGCACCACTTTCAGAAGCCTCCCAGGGCTTCGTCCTCTAAACAGGGCCATAGGAAACATCGTCTTGTGAGGCACCCAAACCCTCGCTGGACTCAGTCGTCCAACAAGTTTTTCGTCCCGCGAGGCAATCGTCTTGCAGGGCACCACTGTACAGTAATTAAACAATTCCTCCTTAGATGATGGAACTTGCCTGATGTGGGCATGGTAAATTTGTGTGAAGGCAGGGAAAGTATCCAATCTGAAGCAGGATTTCTTTAATTAATGTCAGACTCCCCAGATGAAGAAAACATCACCCTTATGCAAGCCTAATTTATAGAACAAGATTTTGGGTGATGCATTTGGTATGTCCGTATTTGGTATTTCCCAATCTAAAATACCAAAATGAAAAAATGCTTGATGTGAATATATTCAAAACACTAATTCTAATTTTTCTGACTTTGTATAGCTTCAGAGGCCTGGAATCGAAGATGTTACTGTTCTAAAAAAGGAATTAGTCCAAGTTCAAACACTTATGGACAAGATGACTTTGGAACGTGAGAGAGAATCTGAGAAACTGAAAGATGAGTGCAGTCACTTGCAGGCAGAATACACAACCGCACAGGTATTAAAACTATGCAGAAACATAGTTGAGTATGAGCCAGTATTTATGTAAAAATAATACAGGTTAATCTGTTTGTGTTAACAGAATGCTTCCTTTATATGAATGAGTAACTTTGGCATACCACCATAATCAATTCATATTTCCTTGAATTTCTGCTTATGTTGATACTTCCAGGTATGGAAGTATGACCACTTTTAAGTGCAGTTGGTCATGCCATTAGAGCGTTTGTATTTTGATAGTTCAAAAGTGGTATTCTTGGAATCAGTGTAATGTAGTTTGAAATTTATAGGATACCTGTTTGCTCAACTTGCAGTTTGAAGGATTTTCAAAGAGGATGAGGCATAAACTGTGTTAATGTTCACAAGACTTTACCATGTCAGAATGCCCTGAAGAGCTTAACTTGAGGTTTCTTCATTAAATTGAATTAAAGTAAATTGATTATATAGATTTACTCAGTTATATGATCTGTTGCACAAGACTTTAGTGGGAAAGGAACTGTGGAATGATATACAGTAGCTCTGAGGCTAATATATGTCTTGAAAATTTAAATTCAAATTTTGTTTAATTATCTATATTTGATTGCTGGAAACATGAGGCCCAAGCTCTGAGATTTACTTTAGCACCATCTGTGCTAGAATATTTTCATTATACCCTTCACTATAAGTTCTTCACAGTCAGTGTGTGAGTTACAGCACAGTTTGGTACATATCTGCACATATCTAAGATCCTTTATGGGGTTAATCTCAGGGACTAAGAAGAGGGTTGCAAACAGGTTTAGACAGAAGTAAACCCACCTGATTTAGATACAATCCCATGAGCCCTGTACCTCCTTGAGAACAAATCCTATTTAATTTAGTGGGTTTTATTTCTTACTAAATTTAAGATCATGTTGCTACAAGTTTTCTGTCTATAATAGCTTGTACTCATCATTTGTTACATGACTTAAAAAAATGATGGGTTCATCATCTTTTTTATTCTAGATATTAAAAAGCCTGCATAATTTTTAATTTTATTCAGGAATTAATACAAAGATTATTGTTATTAAAAGAAAATGGCTTAAATCAATCTTGCTTAAAATAAGAATACTGTATATTTATTTGATACATTCCTTACTAAAAGTGCATTTTTATAAACCTTTGCATTACTGTGATTCTTGACTCAACAAGTAATACATAAGGTTTCAATATCCCCTCTGTAAGAAAGATGCATATGTGTTACGGCAACAAAGTTACCTAAAGAGTAGAAAGTTTCCTAAAGATTAAAAGTATAATCTTATGCATATTTGTTTGTGAAGAGAGTCCCACTGTGTTGAATGGGTTTTATTTCTAGGTAAATTTACGTAGGTTTTGTAGCCTGTCAGTGCATTCCTGCACATATCTGCCTAGAAGTTCGTCCCACTGGGATCAGTGGGGCTTTTGCCCAGGTGAGTGTTTGTAGGACTGCAGTTTAATCTGCCAGAGTAGCTCCATGAAATCTTGATTAATATTGTGGTAACATTTATCTTTAATTTCTTTCATCATTCTCCCATTATCTACTTATTTTTGATGCTTTTCTAATGAAGCTCATTAAAGCTGAAGTTTTTTTTTAAAAAAATCTTACTGTATTTACTGTCCTTCCACAAGATCGCTTTCAGATCACATTAAACCAGATAAGTTTCATTAACATTTCCATTAACAATGAAAACAGTGCCATCCCTGATGAATTTTAGGTGGGCAGTAAAACCATTTTCATCCTGTTTGGATTTTAGTGGTTCTCCATTGAATGGCAGAGCAAGTGCACTTCAGCCTGTCAGGAGGTGGCTAGCTGTCGTGGTGCATCTTCACTCAGCACCACACTGATTTTTAAAGGGGAGGAAAACAGAGGTGGGCTGGTGGTAGTAAGGTTGGCTCCACTTCCTTTATTTTTATGAAAGTACGAAGCCAGTATTGAGTGAACAAATTACTTAGCTGAGTCACTACTGGGACCACAATGTGTGTTCTATCAAATGCATCTGCACCACTGCCCTGGCATAACATTTCCCTCATTGCTGCATCAGGGATGGAAGCTTTGAAGAATTTTAGGGAAGGGAGAGTGCAGTTACAGTAGATTTTCAGCCCTGCTTTTCTTTCTCCACTCAGTGCTAGACCCTGCCTTCAATTTCTTTCTTTATTCATATCCGAACACTGCACAATTTAAAATTATGGATGTACTGTATATGAAATATAGGTAAAATTAAAACAAGTTAAAATGTTAAGGTAATTAGACTATTTTTCTCCAGAGGTGCGCTACGTCAATAATATTATCTTGGACATTTGCTATATCTTTTTTGATGCATGTGGTGAGGCATTCACGTTAAGTGTTGCATTGACTGGATTTCTCCACAGTCACAGAAGATTTATCTAGTATCCAAGTACCCCCATTTTACCTAATTATTCTTTGATCTTCCTACTTCACTTTGACTTCCAGGTGGAAGATCTTCTAAGATTTTCACTTAAAAGAACCAAATTTGGTCACATCAGAACTAACATCTAAGCATCTGGTATGCTTGTTGAACATGAATCCAGGCATGAAAGAAATGTCCGGTTGGGTAGATTCCAAACCCTCATTACATTTTGCAGGATCTCCAATGTGTGGCGATGTGTTTGTAAACACACCAAAACAGACACAGATGCAGAAGATATTTTGTAACATTATTCTACCCCATGTACATCCATATCTATTAATAATTTATGGAAATGTTTTCACACAGAGAATCTTGTCTTTTATTCTTTTTTCTGGTTACCATGGTTAATTGATAATGTTTCCTCTTTTTTCTGGAGTAAGAGGAAAGTTTCTTCCTGAGATGGAAGTTCTGGAATATAATTATTTTTACTCTTTGACATGTTAAGCTAGTCAGAATGCAGTTTCATTAAATTTCCATTGTGAATCTTCATACACTGAACTAAAGATGCGAATTGACTTTCTGTTATGTCTTTTCTTAAGGCTACCATCACTCAGTTAAGAGCTGAACTTGCCAAAGGACCACAGGAAGTTGCTGTATATGTACAGGAACTTCAAAAACTGCAAACATCAGTTAATGAATTAACACAGAAAAATCAGGTAAGACTTACATGGCATCACATTTGCTTAATTGTATGGAATAGCACAACAGTTAATCCTAGGCCAAGGTACCAGACAGGGATGCCCTCTCTCACCAGTATTGTTTGCATTAATTGTAGCGTTGTTAGTGAATGATATTAAAAAAAGTTATTTAATAAGAGACATATGTTTTATAGATAGAATTGAAATCAGTTTATTTGTTGATGGAATATTAACAATAAAGGATTCAAGTAGGGTGATGGGTCAGTTGAAAATGCATTTAAAGGAATTGGGAGAAATAACAGGTCTACAAATAAATTGGCATGATCCTATTCGATTGTGATAAGGAAGTAAAGGAGAGGATTAGGACTATATTTAGAATTAAAATATGTTCTGTTATCAAATATTTAGGTATAAATATCACCAAAAACTTAAAATATTTATATAAAGATAATTTTGAGAAATTAAAACAAGAAATTAAAAGTAAATTAAATGATTTTGAGAAAATTGAATTATCATGGTTTGTTACAATAGCAGCATGTAAAATGAAGATTTTACTTAAATGTATTCTCGAAGGCTTTCATGGCCAGGATCCAATGGTTGTTGTGGGTTTTCCGGGCTGTTTAGATGTGTTCTTAATGTTTTTCTTCCTAATATTTCACCAGTCTCTGTGGCCAGCATCTTCAAAGGACAGGAGTCAGAATTCTGTCTGTGCTGTGGTGTGGTTTGTTGGGTAGTTGAGTATTTATAGCTATGGCATCAGCTTTTATCCTTTTCAGGAAATTGGGTGATTATGGTGATCGGCGTGTTTTTTTGTTGTGGGTGTATTGTTGTGATAAGGAGGAGAGATGATCTGTCACTGTGATTGATGGGTGTTGTTAGCTGTTCTTTTGTGTGCAGTGATCACCTATACCTGGGCACAACTGCAAGGTATCCGGTATACTCATGCAGTGGTGAGGGGGGTCCCTTTTGTCCTTTGCTGACTGTAACGGCAAAAAACACAACCTACAAACAGTTTTCAGACCTACCACAAAAATACGACAAATGTTACGGTCAGCAGTTGCTTTGCAGTTGTGCACAGCTATATATTGGAACCACAAAACAAAGCATCCACACCAGGATCAAAGAACATGAGAGACACTGGAGACTAAAACAACCGGAAAAATCGGCAGTCACTGAACATGCCCTAAAATAAGCTGGACATGAAATTCTATTTCAAAAGACAGAAGTACTGGACAACACCAGCAATCATTATGTTAGACTGCACAGGGAAGCCATTGAAATCCACAAACACCAGCAGGTCTTCAACAAAAAAGAAGAAAGTTTAAAATTCAACAAAGCCTGGCTACCAGCACTGAAAAATACAGCTTGCAAAAGTCAACAAACTATATCCAGTCACAAGGAGCAGTGATCACTGCACACAAAAGACCAGCTAACGATACCCATCAATTACAGTGACAGATAATCTCTTCCCCCTTATCACAACAATACACCCACAACAAAAAACATGCTGATCACCATAATCACTCAATCTCCTGAAAAGGACAAAAGCTGATGCCACAACTATAAATACTTAACTATCTAACAAACTGCACCACAGCACAGAGTTCTGACTCCTGTCCTCTGAAGATGCCGGCCACAGAGACTGGCGAAACGTTAGGAAGAAAAAAATTTAAGAACACGGCCAAACAGCCCAGAAAACCCACAACAATAATTTTACCCAAAATTATTTTTTTTGTTTAGGATAATAGTGATTAAGTTCACAGAACAAGAACTAAAATAATGCAAAATATGATTAATAAATGTGTAATGGCGATAGAAAAGAAAGGAATAATAATAAAAAAGATGGTGCACACTGCAAAAAATAGGGTGACTGCGACTTCCTGATATAAAGCTGTAAGAGTCTTATGAAATTTTAAGAAATGGTTGTACTGAGGAAAATACAAGGTGAGAAGTTATTAAGAGGGTTGATAAGTAAAATTTATAAGATGCCAATAGAAATGGAAGACCAACATGATGCACTTAAAGCATCATGGGAAATAACTTTTGGGAAATAAGTACCAAAATATGAATTATTAAAATATTTGGGATAAAAGAATATTAAAATGTATGTCAGTAATAATAAAAGAACATTATTATAAACTAGTTTGGAAATAGTGTTTAACACCAGTAAAATTGAATTGTATGGATGGCAAATTTTCAAATTTATGTTGGATATGCAATGCTTATATAGGTACTTACTTGTATGTGGTGGAAAATATAAAAATGTAATGAAATTTTGGGAGCTGGTTTGTGAAGAAAATAAAGAAATGCTAGAGTTAAATGTAGGGTTTACTCTGTTATTAGTATTTGGTAAGGGACAATGGAATTAGTAGTAAAATAATTTATAACAAATTTAGTATCAGAAGCAACATTAGTTATAGCTAAAATTCGGAAATTAAAGCATGAATTTCAGTTAAATGATTAGTATAAAGAAGTGTAGAATATCACTATTAATGATTAACTTGTGATATTAAGTTTAAAAAGAAGTTGATAACATATATTTAGAGATATTTAGGGAGTTTTTAAAATCAACTGCTTATTGTGCCATCAAAAGAATCAGTGCAGTGTTGGAAGGGGAATGGGGCATAATAAATGAAATAAATGCATTATGTCTTCAAAGGGTGGAGGGGGCCTCTCTCTCTCCTCTCCCTGTCTCTGTCTTGCTGTGTATTAAGTTTTTTATTTTTTATTTTTGTAGTTTTCGTATGCTTAATATTCTTTAATAACCCCCCCACCAAAATCTTAACAGACACTAAATGCAGCCATTTGTAAATGATTAGCTAAAATTCAGTGTTATGTACTTAAAATTTTAAAAGTATTGAACCATTATAAATTAATACTCTGCCAACTTCACAGAACTGATAAAGGTATCTCAGAAAAGGGGAATTGTTGTCAGAAAACATGAGCAAAAAACTGCATCTTGGTTCATTCTCTGCGGGATGTTGCTTTCAGTCATGCAATTACTTATGTGCAATGTTAATTTTGATTTGGTATTATAGAATCTGGTAGAAAAATTAAAAAAGAAAGAATTGGATTATAGTCAGTTGGAAGAAAAGCAAACTGAAGAATCACTAAGCAAAAAGAATCTTCAAGCAACCCTTAATCAGAAGGATTTGGACTGTCAGCAACTTCAGGCAAGGCTGTCTGCATCTGAGGACTCTATACAAAGGTTACAGAAAGAATTAAGTGAAAGAGGGGAAGCAAGTCAAAAACTGAAGGAAGAATTGTCAGAAGCCGAGACCAAATACCAGCACCTTAAGGCAGAATTCAAACAGCTACAGCAACAAAGGGAGGAAAAAGAACAGCACAGTCTGCAACTTCAAAATGAGCTCAATCAGGTAATTTTTTTCTCACACAGGCAGGATGTGCCCTTGTTATATAGTTTTCTTTAATTTAATATTTTTTTGCTAAGGTCATTACAGAATGGAACATAATACAGTGGTGCCTCGCTTAACGAGCGCTCCGTTTAACAACGAATCCACATAGCGATTAAGTTTTTGCGATCGCTTTGCGATGGCCCCTATAGGGAAAATTCGCTTTGCGATGATCGCGGGGAAGCATCATCCCAAAGGCCCCGCCGATCAGCTGTGCTGTGAGGGGTGGAGAGAAAGCCGAAGCACAGCTGATCGGCGGGGGTTTGCGATGATCGCAGGGAAGCCAGCATCGCAAAACCCCACCGATCAGCTGTGCTTCCGCGCTCTCTCTCTTTCCCCCCT